AGTGCTAGGATTACAGGCATGAGCCACCGCACCTGTAACTATATCTCTTGTTAGGAGTATATGCTGCGGGGAGAGGGGGAAGGATTCATTCTTTATCCAGTCTGGAAAACTTAATCTTTTACTTGGAGTATTTAATCCTTTACATGAAATGTAATTACTTAAAGAGATTTATAGGTACTTACTCTTTGTAATTTGACCCACCTATTTTATGTCCTACTTATATTCCTTTTTCTTGCCTTTCTGTTGATTAGTAAATGTGGTTTTACTTTTTCCCTCTTTTAACTTGTTAGATATACAGTCATGTGTAGCTTAATGACAAGGATATGTTCTAAGAAATACGTCAATAGGCAATTTCATACTTGTGTGAACATCACAGCGCGTGCTTAGGAGAACCTACATGGTATACCTACTACACTTCTGGGCCCTACGATGCAGCCTATGGCTCCCAGGATTCAGTGTGCAGCACTGTACTGAGTACTGCAGGCAACTGTAACACAACAGTGTGTGCACACATAGAAAAGGTACAGTAAAAACGCAGTATTCTAATCTTTTGGGATCACTCTCATATACGTGGTCTGTTCTTGGCCTAATAACATCATCCAGCCCATGACTGTACACACTATTCTTATAGAAGTTACCTTAGAAATTAAAACAAACATCCCTGACTGATTACAATCCAATGTAATTTATTACTTATACTAAATTACTTATACTAACCCCCAATAATCCTAGAACCTTAAAATATTTTAATTTCATTAACCTCCCCTGCCTTTTGTGCTCCTGTCATGCATTTTAGTTCTACATATATTTCACGCTCAAGAAACATGACATTACTGCTTTATACAGCCAACATTTATTTATATTTTACATACATATTTACCCTTCATGCTCTCCATTTCTTTCTGCATCTCCATCTGGATCATTTTCCTTCTGATTAAAGTATCTCCCTTTAGTATTTCTTTTTTTTTTTTTGAAATGGAGTTTCACTCTTGTTACCCAGGCTGGAGTGCAATGGCGCCATCTTGGCTCACCGCAACCACTGCCTCCTTGGTTCAGGCAATTCTCCTGCCTCAGCCTCCTGAGTAGCTGGGATTACAGGTACGTGCCACCATGCCCAGCTAATTTTTTGTATTTTTAGTAGAGATGGGGTTTCACCATGTTGACCAGGATGGTCTCGATCTCTTGACCTCCTGATCCACCTGCCTCGGCCTCCCAAAGTGCTGCTTTCCCCCTTTAGTATTTCTTGTCATGCAGGTCCACTATTGACAAATCCCTCAGTTTTTGTTTGTCTAACTACATCTTTATATCGCTTCATTTTTTTTCCTGAGAATTTTTTATTTCAATGATCCACAAAGCAATATTATAATACTTTATAAAAATACTAAGTTCAGGCTACCATTATTCATTTTTAAAAGTGTGCTAGAAGGCTGTTTTTGCCAACTTCCTTTCTCGGTAAACGTTAACTTTCACATTAAGACACTGAAGATGAAAAGCTTTTGGAAGAAGTCTTCACATGTACAGAGTTGTTTGTTTTTCTGGCCACTTAAAAATACAGAACAATTTAAAATGAATACACATTAAGTTAGTGTTTTATCTCTACTATACAATTGTTACAACATAAGAAACTCTTCCATTCAGTTAAAACCTAGTGAATACCATCAACTTTTCCTGGCTTACTTTCCTGATCAGATTTAGTGCATAAACGTAATTTTGTTAACTTTTTGAATGTGCTGAGAAAAATTACAATATCATAGTTCACACAAAGCCCTTGAAAACTCTCAAGTCACAAGTTGTTGACAAGAGAAAATAATGACATCACTCTTCTTAGGAACACCCTCTTGGTAGAGAGAGGCAATACTAAGCAGGTTATGTAAACAGAAAAAAACAACCACAATTCTTAGTACCAGAACCACTGCCAACTTGCATGAAGTCCATTTGTCCACATTTTAAAATGGTTTGAATTTGAACATAGAGTCCACAGCACAGAATTTTCCAATTTAATGGTTAAATCAGGTAAATAATGATAGTTTTTGTTTGTTTGTTTGAAGATGGAGCTTTTGCTCTTATCAACCAAGGTAGAGTGCACTGACTCCATCTCAGCTCACTGCAACCTCCGTCTCCCAGGTTCAAGCAATTCCGCTGGGAGCTGCCTCAGCCTAAGTAGCTGGGAGTACAGGCATGTGCCACCAGGCCCAGCTAACTTTGTTTTTGTTTTTTTCTTTTTGGTAGAGACGAGGTTTCACCATGTTGGCCAGGCTAGTCTTGAATTCTTGACCTCAGGTGATCTGCCCGCCTCAGCCTCCCAAAGTGCTGGGATTACAGGCATGAGCCACTGTGCCCAGCCATTTCACTATCTATTACTAAGAATATACCTCATTGATTTCCAGGTTTCAGAAGTAATCTTTCAGCATCTTTTCTCCCCATTTTGCCAAAATACCATTCTTCTGGCCTGAATGGAATTTGCAGGTGCTACATAATTCCTCGGGATATAACCATTCTTTCCTCTAGCGATTGATCTTGCTTCCCGCCAGTCTCCTTCCATGTTGTTAATTATTTGAAATCTTTCACCCTTCTTAAATGAAAGGTCTTCTGTCGTTCTAGCTTCATAATACATAAGGCCACGAATATAGTAACGCCACCTGTTAAACCAGCAGGACATGAACTTGGCACCACTGAGAATGAGGAAGATGCACCTCTAAAAGGTGTTACCCTTGAGGATCCTCCAAATGGTGTCATGGAAAGACTGCTGAAATTAACTGCTTTTCCTTTGCTGAAGATGATGGGCATGGTGACACCACAGTGGGTTCTGCTCCACAATGGCTCACACTGGTACTGACAGGCTCTGGAGTATTCTCAGGTCGGTATTTAATGGCTTGATTTTTGCTTTCTTTACATTTAATGCAGCCCATTATCAAATCTGTCCTCAGGCAACAACTCACTGAGTTGCTGCTGCCACAGCTCCAGGTGACAGGTGGGGGTGGCAGGCGGAGGCCAGGGGCCACAAGTCCTCTCCCTCTTCCACCTCCTCGTCTCCCATTTTTGAAGAAAATTCTTGCTGGGAGTAGAATTCTAGGGTGGCAATTATCTTTCTTTCCTTTAAAGATGCCCATTTCATTGTCCATTTTTTATTAAAAAATCATTTTCATAATGTCACAGTCAGTCAAACTGTTGGTCCTCTAAAAGTAATGTGTCTTCCCCACTGCTCACCATGGCTATTTTAAAGATATTTTCATAGTTAAAAACTTTGTCATAGTTCCCATAGTCTTATATTGACATGCAAAGATTGGTTTCATTTGCATTCATTCAGCTTAGGGTTTCCTAAGCTTTCAAATCTGTTAGCTGCTGTCTTTCATCATTTTGTAAAATTCTATGGATTACCTTTTCAGATCTTGCTTTTGCCCTATTCTCTCCCTTCTCTTTCTGAAACTCCAATCCCACATGTGTCAGACCTTTTAAAAATGTCTCATGTGTCTTTAGTGTTTCTGTTTCTTTTTTCAGTTCCTTTTCTCTTTGCTTCAGTTTGAGATTATCCACTGACCTGCCTTTCTATTTATTACTTTTGTCTTGAACTCTAACCAATCTGCTAGTGAACTTAACCATTAGTTCTAATTTCAAGTGTGATACTTTCTGTTCTAAAGTGTTTACTTAAGTCTCCATAAAAAATTCAAATTATCCTGAAATTATGTATCCCTTCATGTATTGTGTCCATCTTTTCCTCTATTTTCTTGAACATATGATTCATAGTTATTTTAAAGTTACTGTCTGCTAACTCCAATATCTGATTCATCTGTTGGTCTGCTTTTATTGTCTTGTTTATGATTCACATGATCTTCCTTCTTAGCACGTCTCATAATTCTTTACTGTATGCTAAACACTATACGGTCCTTACATAATGTTATTTTCTACTTGTAAAAAGACAGAAAAGGGCTCCCTTTATACTCTGGTAAGAGGCAAGGAGGGAGGTCATCATCCAATAAGGGATGGCACTAGGTTGGGTTGTCATTTTTGTAGGACCCCATCTGCTTCTGCCTCGACCCTGTTTCTAAGGCATGCCCTCCATGGAGTTCAATGAGAGACTTTTGTTTCCTTAGTACTGGATTCAGTTCTGCCCATGAAAAGTTTTCAGCTTGCTCTTTGGCCTCCTACCCCACTCAGCTTGAGAACCTGGCGTATGTTTTGAGTGGGCAACTAATCACCTATGTGGGGCTTCTCCAGTCTTATTTTTAAACTCTTGCTCCAGAAACCTCTTCTGCACTTTTTGGCTCCCAGAAGTAGCCAAACCTGGATGCTCATCTGCCTGCTACACCTGAAATCAACAGACATCCCAAGTGAAAAGTAGCTGCAGATCCTCAGTGTCACCAGACCACTTCCTCTAGGGTTTTCATCTCTTGTCCATTCTGTTTTCAGCCTCTAGCTGGTCTGTGTTTCCTAAGCACTGTAAGGGTGTAGGAGATTTCAATGTGCCTTCCAGAAGTTTCTGGCCTCTCTCTTCAGCTCCCCTCCAACCTCAGACTTCACCAAATGCCTTATGGGAAAAATCAGTCATGCATTTGAGGTGAGGTCACCACACCTCCCCGTCCACCACCACCAAATCTCCAATTTGTCCTTCCAGTAAAACTAGAAAACCTTGGCTAATATCTCTTTCAAACCTAGTAGCAGTCCTCTGCCTCTGCTCACATCTCCAGAGGTAGCATATTTCCACAGGAAATAAAATAACTGGTGCCCCTCAGTGCAGCTCTGGAGGATCCTCCCATCTCTGGAACTTTAGTCCAACTGTCCCTCATTGCTCCCACAGCACTCCAAAGCCTTCAAGAATGCAACTCTTATAGCGTGTTCAGCTTTTTTATACATGTTAGCATCCTGTACTTGATACTATATTTTGCACTACTAATTACTTTCAGTGAATTTCTAAATATTTATAAGATATTGAGTAATCTTAATATGTTCCAAGTACAGTTTAAATATGCTTTTGAAAGAAAAGCATCAGTAAAACTTCTTACCTCTTCATAAAACTTCACCTGAGGTACAGCTTCATTAATTTCATTCAAACAAAAATCTTTAAATAGCAAGAAACCTAAAGGAAAAAAATAAAAAATTTCAGGGTGGGCAATTAATTGAAATTTTATCCCATAAGGATGTTTTCAAAGCAAAGTGTTTACACCTCAACCTCTTCTTCCCCTACTTTTTTTTTTTTTTTTTAAGATTTCAAGAAGCTAGTGAATTAATTAATTCCTAGAAGGAAATACTCCAGGCAGAAGAGTACCACATACCTGGCCCCTTGCTTCAGGGTTCCTTCTCTATTCATGTCCCCCACCCTCTTTCTATAAAAGAATGATACGACAGGGCTGGCGCTCACCCACCACTTGGAGCCCCTGACCACTATAGGGACCAAAATAATAACCAAAGGAAGAAGAGGTACAGACAGTATGAAAGCATTGGTGAGAATCACCAAGATGCTAACAAACACTACACCCACTAAAATAAGACCAAACGCCCTAAAAGACACACACACACACACACACACACCCCAGAACTTCCCAAACCTTTCTAGACCTTTCTCTCACCACTCACTCATTATTTCCAAGTCCCTACCAAATACCTAGTGCCAGAGTAGATTAACCATTCCCAAGTCATTCTTCACTCCTTCACAACTACATGGCTCACCTTTAAACAATCAATGACATTTGCCTAGAATACTATGCCCCTTTCTGTACCTTGAATACTCCTAAAATAACCAGAATCAGACTCAAAAGCCACCTGTGCTCCGAAGTCTTCTCTGATGAGATAGACCCTATTGCACAATGCCTAGTACACAGTAGGTGATCAATAAATGTTCATTGAATGAATGTTGGTTTACTTAGCCTTTCCAACATTCTGTCAAAATATTTACCACACTCGAATTAATTACCTGGTTTATAAGGCTCTCATTCCACGTGAGAACCTAGTGCCTTGATTAAGGCCTAATGGTCACATCTAGATAAACAAAGTTGAATAGAACAAGCTGATACCAGACTGAAGACAGAGATACTTGAAGATCATAAATTCCAAAAAGTCAAAACAATTAAACACAGAGTTAGCAAAAACAAGTCGCAGAAGGGAACTGAAGACTCACGAAGTCTAACATGTAGAGAGGGGGTGGACCAGAATTCCCCCGGTGGACTCAAAAAGGAAGTAGCTGTGACGAGATTTTAATTAATATTAGCCTAAGGCTCTCAAGGCTCTCATAACTGGAACTGGCCTGTGACTGCTCCATAAATTCCCCCACGGTTCCTGGAACATGACCTTTGGAAATGGTAAGTGTTCGTTCACTCAAACCAGAGTAGAATGACTAAGAGTACTAGTTAAATAGGCACAGCCAGCCTTTAGCAGTGTCAGGTGCACATCTGCAGCAGAAGCACAGCCACTCTTATCCCGTGGAGAAACTGCAATGACCCCAACGAACGCAGGAAGTAGGAAATTCAAGTAGCAGGCAAATGGGAAGGATACACATCTCTATCTGTCTGTATGTTAGTATTTTGAGTTTAAGAGTAATGGCTGTCTCTTCATTTTCATTCATTTCAAAGGAATTCCTAATTTCCCTTGTCATTTCTTCTTTGATCCGTGAGCGCTTCAGAAGGATGTAATTTAATTTCAAAATATTTTGGGACTTTTCAGATATTGATTCCTGTTTAGCTCTGCTGTGGTCAGAGAACATGCTTGGTATAACTTCAATGTTTTTGTTTTTGAGATGGAGTCTCGCTCTGTAGCCCAGGCTGGAGTGCAGTGGTGCAATCTCAGTTCACTGCAACCTCCACCTCCTGGGTTCAGGTTCAAGCAATTCTCCTACCTCAACCTCCCAAGAAGCTGGGATTACAGGCATGAGCCACCATGCCCAGCTTATTTTATCATTGTATTTTTGAGTAGAGACAGGTTTCACCATATTGGCCAGTCTGGTCTTGAACTCCTGACCTTGTGATCTGCCTGCCTCAGCCTCCCAATGTGCTGGGATTACAGGTGTGAGCCACTGCACCCAGCCAACTTCAATGTTCTTAAATGCATTGAAACTTTTGTTCTATCTAGCTGAGTGCTGCATGGCACTTGAAAAGAAAGGTGCATTCTGTTCTTGTAGGGTGGAGTGTTTCATTTAAAAGAAGAAAAAGGCAATTAAACCAAGTGGGCTTGATAGAGTTGTTCAAGATGGTCCTCTGCAGCAATGCAGATGGAACTGAAGTCCATTATCCTAAGTGAAGTCAGTCAGAAATAGAAAGTCAAATACTGCACGTTCTTATTAAGAAGTGGGAACTAAACAATGGGTACACATGAACATAGGGAGTAAAATAATAGACACTGGAAACTCTAAAAGATAGGAGGATGGGAGAGGAGTGAGCCATGAAAAGTCACACACGGTACAATGTACACTAAAAGCCCAGAGTTCACCACTATGCAATGTGTCTATGTGACAAAATGTACGTGTACCCCCAAATCCATAGAAATAAAAGATCATCCTCTGAATCTTCGCTGAATGTCTGTCTATTTATTCTATCCATTATCAACAGGGAGTGGTGAACTCTCCATTTGTAATTGCAGATTTCTTCATCTTTTTTCGGGGCTGTCAGGTTTTGCCGCATGTATTTTTTTCTATTTTTCGAAGAGAAAACTAATATGAGAATTTGAACTTAGGTATTTTGGTCAAATTAGAGATGTTTTCACAATGTCTAAATGACAAAATGAAATAATACCACACATGGACCATTGTCTTTTGACTACACTTGGAATCAAACTGAACCTCTTCACCATAGCCTACCCCCGCCCTCTGGAGTTGCCGTTGCCTTCTCCAGCCCCATCTCACAGTGCTCCACCCAAGCTGACTTCGCTTAAGCCAAGCTTCTGTACTGTAGTTTCTCCAGCACCGAGCTCATTCCCTTCTCCAGGTTTCTTACCGGCTATTCCCACTGCCTCACACACTTTTCCTGGATCTTCAGACTTGAACAGCTCACTAGCTCACTTCAAATATCCCTTTCCCTGAGGAGCCCTTCATGATTCTCACTCATTCTCAATATCCTGTTCTCTCTGTCATCCATACACACACACACACACACACACACACACACACACACACCACAAAACACCTTGTAGCACTTATGATGACCAAAAATCATCACATGTATATATTTGCTTCTTTACTGTCTACCTCTCCTGCTACAATATAGGCTGCAGTGCATAAGGTGCAGGTGTTTTATTCTCTACTATGTTTGCACAAGAGCATTGACTGTGGCAAAGACAGCTTAGGAGAGAGAACAAAGGAAAAAAGGTAGGGGAGAATGGGTAGGAGGGGAGGGAGGGAAGTTGGGGGAAAGGAGGAAGGAAGAGGACAGAAACGGGAGGGATGAGGGAAAGAAGGAGATGAATGAATGAACACCCAACTTAGAATGTCTTTAGCTACTTCTTTAAAAAAATTTCCATTGTCGGTTGGTAGAATAAGCCAATGACGTAGTCTAACATACAATAGGAAAAACAAAATATTATTCTCCTCCTGTGTGCACATAAACTAAAGCTTTACTTTCTACCAGCTATTTAAACGGAGCAGCTAAAACAGAGTGGCAGGAGGAAAGACATTTGGCTTTTGGCTAATCCTAGATCACTGTGTCCTAGGCTGAATGCAACTTACCTTCATTAGCCTGAAACTATATAAAAAGCAAATGAAGCATGGCTCAGATTAGAGCAAAACATAAAAGGCAAAAATAAGGATATCCTTTGCCTAACAAGTTCACTCCGTCATTGCAATTCCTCCAGATTTTAAAGAGTAAAAAATAGTGACCTAACACCTGCTTGGTAGATATCTGTGAAATGTGTTTACTTTGTTTCTATATTTGAACCATTGCAACGTGCTGAATGTTGATTAACTTTTTAGTGTATATAACACCCAGGAAAGGCAAACTATCCCAATTTGCCATCACAATAATTTTTCAAAAATTTGTAGAAAGAATTGTATTGCTTTTGTATAAAATGTGAGTTATGAGCTTTTGAAAATGTTAAATTTAAGTGATTTCTATGAGAAATTATGAAACTAAATCTCCTAAAAATTAGAAAGGTGAAAAGAGAAATATGAAAATTTTCTTGCAAGAAATAATACTTGTCCTCAGTTTTTCCAAGGAGATTAAGATACTAGGAAGGAGAGTAGATTGCATAACTGCCAAAACTTCCTTCCAATATTAACTAATTCTACAAAACATTTACTGAGTACGTACTAAGAGCCACTGTGTTATTCACTGAGGATGTAATTGTGAAAACAGTGTTTTTCCAAAAAGGGCCTTATGGATTAGTGTAAGAGACAGATAACAAAGAACTAAATATAATTTATGATGAGCAATAAAAAAAGGAATGAAATATGATGCTGAGATAACGATGAAAAGAGGAAGATATATTTCAGATAGAACGGTCAGTAAGGCCTTTCTAAGCTGTGAGATAAGCAAAACACAACACACGTCAGGTTAGAAAAAGCTGGAATACGTAATCTCACCCCTCTTCAACATTGTATTGGAGGTCTTAGCCAATGCAATAAAGTAAGAAAAGGAAATAAAGGTCATTCAAATTGAAAAGGAAGAATTAAAACTGATTCTATTCAGTCTGGTTAGCTACCTGGCAAATCCTTTCTATAAGTAACTCCTATCTATATGTAAGTAACTTTAGCAAGGCCACAGTACATAAGGTCATTAGATGAGAATCAGTGAAATTCCTATAAAGTCATAGCACACAATTTTTAAATGGAATTTTAAAAACAAGTCAATTTGTAATAACAAAGAGCTATCAATACAGAGGAATAAATAAGTGACATACAAGACCAGTATGCTAAAAAACTATAAAATGTTACTGAGAGAAATTAAAGAAGATCTAAATAGATGGAAATACATACTCAGTTCATGGATTGGAAGATTTAATATTGCTTAGATGTTAATTCTCCCCAAATTAATTTGTAGATTCAGTGCAGTTATAATCATAACTCCAACAGGCCTTTTTAAAGAAACAGACAAGCTGATTCTGAAATATATATGGAAATGCAAAAAACCTAGAATACCCAAAACATCTTAAGAAAGA